TCTTGGAACCCAGCTGCCATGTTGAGAGGCAACTCAAGCAGGCATAGGGGCAGGCCCACGTGAGAAAGAGGAAGAGAATAGGGCTGATCTCCCATCCACAGCCAGCACCAGTTTGCCAGCCATGTGATTAAGCCATCTTGGAAGTGGACAGTCTAGATCCAGTCAGACACAGCCTTCCCTCTCTGAGTTATGCCCAAAATTGCAAAATCATGTACAAGTTAGATTTTTTTAAGTCTCTAAATTTGGGGGCAGTTTGTTACACAGCCGTATACGGTCACCAAAAAATAAAAAAAAATAAAAGAGCCTCAGACCAAGCACTTAAACACTTCCTCAAATTCCAGATGTATAAAAAGGGAAAGGGAGGGGCCCCTGGGCAGCTCAGTCAGTTAAGGGACTGACTTTGGCTCAGGTCACGGTTTGGCTCAGGTCATGGTTTGTGAGTTAGAGACCTGCAGCAGGCTCTCGCGGCTGTCAATGCAGAGCCCACTTTGGATCCTCTGTCCGCCTCTCCCTATCCCTCCCCCACTCGTGCTCTCACAAGCTCTTAAAAAAATTTTTTTAAAGGGAAAGGGAGAGAAGAGGCAAGGTGTTCATTCATTCAAACACGTGTAGAACACTACTATGTGCCAGACTCTATGACAGGTTTTCAACACTGTTCTTCTGGTGTTAACGGTCTATCCCCGAGACAGACAAACAACTCATTACAGTGAAGTTGATTCTATAAAGACAAAGGAGTATAAAGGGGTATGGGAATACTAGGTGATCTCACAGGCCCCTCTAACTCTGATATTTTCTAACTGGAAGATGAAGCCTACATCTATCTGTGAGATGGCCACTCAGAGACAGTCATACAGGATCATCCATGTAGAGAACAACTTTCTCCTATACAAATCCACTTCTTAATTAGAGTATCAACAAAGATGTGGAGTTTCCATAGCTACCCAACAAATAAATGGTGAAAGCACACAGAGAAAGCTCTGGAGTGGAATCATCTCGAGAGAGCTTTGAATAAAGGGATAAGACTAAGAGAGGTAGGATTTCTAGAGGCAACCGAGGTAAACAGTGAAGGAGAACTTTACCTGTTGTTTAATGTTTAAAAGGCAAAAAATGAGGTGCCTGGGTGGCTGAGTTGGTTGGGTGTCTGACTTCGGCTCAAGTCATGATCTCATAATTCATGAGTTCAAGCCCCACGTTGGGCTCCGTGCTGACAGCTGCTTCGGATTCTTTTTCTCCCTCACTCTCGGCTCCTCCCCTGCTCATGCTCTGTCTGTCCGTCTGTCTCTCTCTCTCTCTCTCTCTCAAAATAAGCATTAAAAATTTTTAAATAATAAAAGGCAAAAAATATGTAAGTTGATTGCTTCAGACAAATTATTCTTGAGTATTTTTTTTTTACTCCCCAGAGGTTTTAGTGATCACCAGGAAAGAACCCTTAAAGATAAATTTTTATTTTGCTGCATAAATAAGTAGCTGTCTATCAGACAAGCAGATCCAGTAAACAGCTCTCCTGTAAGATTTAGTGAATTCAAATCATGCCTTGCTAATGCGGTGCCTCAAGACGTCTTTCTCCCCAAATCTGAACTATTCTAAGAACTAGGAGACGTGACTGTGGTGGTGCAGCAATGCCAAAATATATACTGGTCCCACAAGTTTCATCAAGACAAACATAACTAAGTGCAAACCAAAAAACCAAAGCAAGGAGGAAGAATTAAGAGCTTTCCCTTGATGAGATCTGGGAGAATTTAATCCAGTGCTGCTGACCCTGTACTTGATTTTCTAAGGACTCTTGATTTGGCTGGTGTTGAAGTCCTTCCTTAACCTCACATTAGAAAAAGAAAAACATCCTTTGATTGCTTTGATAGGGGCAAGCCAAGAAAAGAGAACAGTCAATTCATGCCTCTCAGATTTTCCCTTCGAATTACTGTGGTTAATGGTAAGGATTAGTTTGCTCTGGTTAAAGTGTTCAGACTTGATATAAGCCATTTGTGGTCATGGATAAACACAACTGTTTTGAATGCCCACAGGTAGGGGTAATTTCACTATCTCCTATCATCATCTCACAGGATCTTAAACAGCTATTGTTCCAGCTAAAGACACAAAAGGAACACATTCATGAATTTCCTGTTTTTCGATCTTAAAAGTTCTTACACATGCAAAACACCGGCCTCTAGGTCATGTAGCCCTCACACCCAAACCCCTCCCGCCTCTCTTGTATCCAAGCATTCCTGGGGTAGTTGTAGGCAGAGGTCAGCACCTCAGCAGCTGACCAAAGCTCGCTGCTCTCACCAAAGGAACCAGCAGATTTCAGCTAGAAAACTGACGCAAGTCACTCCCCCTTGTTGAAGATGTGATGGAGTCAGCGCCAACATTACTGCCAAAGGGTCAAGGATTCCTGGGCCCACAGGGCCCCTGTACAAGGGGTCAGCTCACAAGTCCAGGCCAATGAGAGAGGCCTCTTGTTTCAGACACCCAGGATGATGCTGGGCTCTTTCAGGGTTTTTCCTGCCACTGAAATGCCTGGATCTGACCCCACCGCGACCTCCAAGAGGCTCCTGGGCAATAAGGGATGTGGTGCTAAAGGGGCCCCTGAGGGGTTTTATTAGCTCGGCTTCCAGGTGAGGAGGAGGAACCAACCATCAAAGGAGGTTGACAACTTTGCAAATTAGCACTTAAGAGAAAAATTACTGTGAAAAGAAGAAACTGCTCCTTTACACCAGAGATCTGTTGTGAGAAATACAAATGAATTGTATTCAGATCTTGTGGTATTATTAAAAAAAAAAAAAAAAAGTCAATCCTACAACTATTGCCCATGATAAACGGACCTGACATTTAGGGTCCACAAGGAAGACCCGCACATACACCGTGGCCTTACAAATTCTCTTACACATACCCTAATTGCCAACGAGTCCAAAAACTCAAAAACAACTACCCTTGTCATCTATGACAACTACCAGATCTGCAGGAAAACTGGGACAACGGGGGACAGCAGGGCAACTAAACCACTGAACCTAGAAAGAAGGCCCGAAAGAAGTTAAGAAATGATGAACAGACACTGAGAAAGGGGAGAGAAAATCTGGTGAAGGATAGGATTGGGCAGAAACTTATAATATCCTCAGGGACAAATTATGCCCTTAAATGCTCAAATATTATTGCTCCAACTAATGCGGGGACCACGAAGCACCCTCCACCCTTCCCTTCCGCCACAAGTTTTCTAAGGAGTACATAGGAATGGATCCAAGTAGGCAAGGAGCCCCCCACCTGCGCTTCATAGATACTCTGGGTTCACGTAATACCCTTCTGGCCCACCCCAACACCAGGAAAGGACCTCCTCTCACTCTCGCTCTTTCTCTAGTATTCTAGTCACCTTAATCCTAAACCTGGAATTCATTTTCAAAACAAAGCTTACTGAACAACACACTTCAGGAGACGGGGAGTTAAAGCTGCCACAGAGAAATAAACAGTGTGAAAGACCAGGGAAATATTCTCTGCAGGACAAATACCTTTAAGTTTTGGATTTTTAAGTGACCTTACACGGGAAGTCACAGGTTTCTCCTTAAATAAGGTTTCTCCTGGGTCCTAGATTCTATTTTAGATGTGAACTTCTCCCTGCTTGTTCAATTGCCAAAAATCACTTAGGAGGTTAGGGGAAGAGGCAGGAAGATCTGTTTTCAAGTTACACCCACCCCTCTTAGCATCTCCTCACCTTCTAAACCACAAGGGACACCACCCGAATTAGGAAATGGCGCTACTTCATTCACCAACACCTCAAAATGCTACTCCAAACCCCAGCAGGGACAGCACAGCAGCAAAACACAGAGCACCAGGCAGGGGCCAGGGCATTCGCTGCTGGGTACCAGCCGCAGACCTACTCGGGTTTCCCCATCTCCAGCCCTCTTCCCACAGCCAGGGCTGCATCCTTTCATTTTCTTCACCCTTGGTAATCTGACATCACCTCTGTCTGCCTTCCGGCTGTTTTTACACCGGTCTCCTTTTCTTCCCCTTTCCTCTCTTAAGCCATATTCAAGCACAGACTATTTACTCTACTTTTGCCCCATAAATAGCTCAGTGATGATGTTAGGAGGAAAACCCACAGCCACTAAGCCTCCCTGCTCTAGACACTGGTCACACAGACTCCCTCCTCTCTTTTGAGCGTCTACTCAAAAAAATACTTTTTAGGTATTCAAAGTGGGGGACGCAGCGGGGGCGGGAGTTGGGGGGAAAGAGGGGTTTTGCTGAAGGATCCCTAAAGTCATCCAAAAAAAAAAAAAAAAAAGGTGGCTTTGAGCATCTTACCGCTCACATATTTGCATACTGTTTGATGTAGCTTTAATTTCAAAGCGAGTCTCAAACACTCAAGAGGGTATGTTACAGTGAGAGCTAGGAATTGCAAATGCTCTTGCCTCAAAGACTCCGGAGTCCAGTTCAGGGCAGGAAATAAAGTTCTAAGCGGCTTTGATGTGCTTCCTCTCCACTCCCCTCCCCAGCGTGGGTCATTCAACTCCGCCAGCGAGAGACCACCTTGCCCGAACTTAACCAAATGTATCACACGTGGGAGCCAAGTGGTAGATTTAATAATCCAATGAGCTCCCCAGCCCCACCAAATTAGTTACTGGCGGCTTCGGCTCAGCTTGAGATCCCCGACTGCTTCTACGAAAAGGAACGTTGAGCCTAAACTGGGGGAAACGGGGTAGAAAAGGACTGGGGACCCAGATTCACGGAGAGCAGAAAGTCTTGGCCGCGTGGTGAGAGCTTGTTTCTTTTTTGAGCCACTGATTTCAGACTGAAACATTAAGCCAGCTCAGGTCATTTCCTGAGTAGCACTACAAGTTACAACAAGATCCAAAAAAAATCTATTAATCTTTAATTGCGCTGCCTCCAGCCTGGGAGCACGAGGTGGGTAGGGTGCAGGGGTGTAGGGCTGGGGATAATCGGGAGGGACGGGGGTTTGTCGGAAACCATAAACGTCTGAGAAGCCAGAGCTCGCGACCTCAGCTGTTCCTTACCTCGCTCAGCTCCGCCGAGGAGTCGTTTCCATATTTCATGGCAACTCCAGAATTCATGACTGCACTTTTCAGAGCCGAGCTCCTCCTCCTCCTCCAGCTCTCGGAGCTTCTGAGTTGGGCTTACCAGGCTCGATATCCACCGCTTGGTCCCTTCTGGCACATTTTAGTCTAGACAGCCATTTTCACCCAAGACCGTGGGGCAGACCCAAGGAAGGATGCAAGCTCTCCTGGAAGGCACAGAGCCCGCTGGCGGTTCACGGACGAGCCATTGCTGCAGGAGGCTCGGTGGTGTGGCGCGCTCGCAGCTGCTGCAGCGGCCGAGCCGGCGCGAGGACCCGCCCGCGCGCGCCCACCGCCGGGTCCCGGGGCACTGCCACCCTCCGCGCCGCCGCGCCGCTCCTACGGGGCCTCGCCGCCCCCCATTACTAGGCTGGAGGGCACCTCCCAGTAGGACCCCGCACGCCGGAGGGCTCCAGCGAGCTCCTGAAGAGACGAGGGCGGCGGGGCGAGCGAGATCCGTGCCTCGGGCTCCGGGGAGGGAAAGAAAGCTACAGAGAGCCGGAGCGGGGCTGCACTTCACGCTGAAGTTTCCCTTTTGAATCGTCTGGAGTTGTAAGTGGTTTCTGATTGAACACAGCTGTCTGGCTGCTCGGTGCGCGGAGGAGGCGGGGCCAGAAAGAGAACAGGGGCGGGGGTGGGGGGGAGGCCGAGCCGAGGGGACCTTGCCCGGAGAGCCGGCATCCTTCCAGCTCTCTGCGATAGTAATTACAGGACCCAAGTCCAGGAGGAAGAGAAGAAACAGGAAGAGCCACCTGAGTAATTGTGCAGAAAAAAAAATTTTTTTTAATTCCTCCTAGAAGCCACTTTCCATGATCTAATAAGGTCAAGACAAATCTGAACACTGTACATCAGCCAGCGCTGTGCACTCCTCATGGTACATTAAGATTTTACAAGAGTATGCGGCGTTCATTTTCCCTGATCTGTCTAAAGTCAACACCGAGGGTGTAAATTCACTGTCAAACTCCCTCTCTGTCGCTGGAGCAGATTACATTTTCTGCATGTCGATAATAAAGATGAAGATGTCCCATCCCTTGAAAGGTAAAAATAGGCTCAAATTTCCCATCCTCCCCAACCCTAAACTATCTTTTTAAATATTACATTTCCCAGCCTCTTCAACCCCCATACCTTCCTTAAAAATTTCAAGGCTCATCCGAGCAGAGCTAGGTCTGTATTTCTGGGGTTTGGAGTATGAATCAGAAAAGATTCAACGGACTGTTATATCCAGTGGACTGGTGGAATCAGAACTCCCCTCAGCTTTGGGTTTCCCTGAGGTAAAAGCATCCCTATGTAGGGAGGTGACAGGGGAGGGATTTTTCTCCCCATAAAGGTTAAAGTCCCACTGAACTTGAAATACACTGAGAAAAATGTTCTGATCCTTCAAACAGTTGGTCTGCAGGATTGCTTAAGAGGCCTCATCAGTTTCTTTCTACACAATGGGAACGAAATGTCTCCATTTTGTGACAGACTAGGTATTTCCTAGAGCCTTCTATGAAAAAGCCATTGTATTGTTAATTTCCAAGGTCTTTTTTTTTTTAATCAAATAGGATGTTTATTTTGCTTTTTAAGAAGGAGGAGCCAAGAGCTTGACCATTTGCATTTATCTTCTTACTCAGCTGCCTTTCTGGTGAGTTCATTCATTGCCTGATAGAGGTGCTACTGGGCTTTTAAAAAGAAAAGAGTTTGCTGCATTGGGGGAGCACTGGGTCCCAAGTTCCAGGGCACTGCCAGACTAGAGCACATTGGGAGAAGCTCTTCTGCATGGGGAGGGGCTAGGAAGCCACATTTATTTTTCTTATTTACTCATTAAAACCTATTAAGAACTGGGGCGCCTGGCTGACTTAGTCAATGTGCATGTAACTCTTGATCTCTAGGTTGTAAGCTCAAGTCCTACAATGGATGTAGAGATAACTTAAAAATAAAATCTTTAAAAATCATTTTCTTATGTCAAATATCTTTTTTTAATATAATTTATTGTCAAATTGGTTTCCATACCACACCCAGCGCTCATCCCAACAAGTGCCCTCCTCAGTGCCGCCACCTACTTTCCCCTCTCCCCAAACCCCATCAACCCTTAGTTTGTTCTCAGTATTTAAGAGTCTCTCATGATTTGCCTCCCTCCCTCCCTGTGACTTTTTCCCCCTTCCCCTCTCCCATGGTCTTCTGTTAAATTTCTCAAGATCCACATATGAGTGAAAACATATGGTATCTGTCTTTCTCTGACTGACTTATTTCGCTTAGCATAATACCCTCCAGTTCCATCCACGTTGCTGCAAACGGCCAGATTTCATTCATTCTCGTTGCCAAGTAGCATTCCATTGTATACATAAACCACATCTTCTTTACCCATTCGTCAGTTGATGGACATTTAGGCTATTTCCATGATTTGGCTATTGTTGAGAGTGCTGCTATGAACATTGGGGTACATGTGCCCCTATGCATCAGCACTCCTTTATCCCTTGGGTAAATTCCTAGCAGTGCTATTGCTGGGTCATAGGGGAGTTCTATTATTAATTTCATGAGGAACCTCCACACTGTTTTCCAGAGCGGATACACCAGTTTGCATTCCCACCAACAGCGCAAGAGGGTTCCAGTTTCTCCACATCCTCCCCAGCCAGCATCTACAGTCTCCTGATTTGTTTACTTTAGCCACTCTAAAAAAACTATTGAGGACTGAATGTGTGCTGGAAGATGGAGATGGTGGTGAAAGACTATGAAAATATAAGAGACTCAAACACTAGCCCTGCCCATAAGGTGTTTATAGTGTCATAAAACATAAAGAACATGACAGTTCTGGATAGAAAATGAAACTTACCGGGGTGGCTGGGTGGCTCAGTTGGTTAAGTGTCCGACTTCATTTGAGGTCATGATCTCACAGTTAATGGGTTCAAGCCCTGCGTCGGGTTCTGTGCTGACAGCTAGCTCAGAACCTGGAGCCTGTCTTTGGATTCTGTGTCTCCCTCTCTCTCTCTGACCCTCCCCTTCTCTCTCTCTCTCTCTCTCTCTCTCTGAAATAAATTTTTTAAATAACATAAAAAAAAAAGAAAATGAAACTTACCATGAAAGCAATACAAATGAAGATCTATCGCAGTTCAGGGGAGGAAATAGGATTTGGGCTGGACTGAGTTGGAAGAGAACTGTGAAGGAATCTTAGGAGAGGCGGCATGTGAGTTGATCTCTGAAGAATGATGGAGTCCAGCAAAGATGGGGAGTAAGGTGAAGGTACCCCAGACTGGGGGACCATGTGAGAGAAAATATAGATGGAGGATGGAATGTGCTGGGCATGTGACATCAATGGCAGGTGTTCCATTTTGGAGTGGAACCTGGATTAGGTAAGTGAGTTAAAGCCAAGTTTTGAGTGACAGGCTCAAGAAATGAGACTTCTGATAGGCAATGGAGATCCACTGAGGGTTTCTGAGTAGAGAAATAATGGGATCGGAGCTGTGCTTTGAGACAGTCCAGTGGATCTGTACCACCCTCATGAGCAACTCACATGAATTCAAACAGACTAGTGTTGAGCGTGATTCTGGTGTTTAAAGGAACATATTTTTCATACTAGATGGCCCCTAAAGCCAAGCAGATGATTTCATCTGGTGTTCAACCAAAAGAAAGTGATCTGTTCCAAGACCGGAGGAAAAATTGGCAGTGTTGAACGTATCAAGAAGCAGTATGACTGCAGATTCTACTTTGTGGACAATAGAAGACATTTTCAAGAGTAAAATTGACTATACAGAATTTTCTTCTTAAACAGTGACTTTACTACTTAACCACCACAAAAGATGTAACTCCACAACAGTCTGGCAACAGTGAATGTGGTAAGTCGAAAATGGGACCTGAACATGCCGAGGGTCCTCGTGGTCCAGCAAGAGGCTACAGAGGCCTTAATTAAGTTGGAGCAATGGAAATGGATGGAGGGGATACATGGAAGAGATTCTATAGGAAGAGAGTAGACAGGGGCACCTGGGTGACTCAGTCAGTTAAGCATCCAACTGTTATTTTCAGCTCATGTCATGATTCCACAGTCATGGGATCGAGCCCCACATCAGGCCCCATGCTAACCATGTGGAGCCTGCTTGGGATTCTCTCTCCCCCTCTTCTCTCTGCCCATCCCCTGCTTGTGCACACTTGTGCCTGCATTCTCTCTCTTTTTCTCAAAATACATAAATAAAACTTTAAAAAAAATTTAATAAGCGACTCTCTTTCTCTCTGTACCCCTCTCCCTTGCTCTGCTCTCACTCTCTCTCTAAAAATAAAATAAATAGGGGTGTCTGTGCTGACAGCTCAGAGCCTGGAGTCTGCTTCAGATTCTGTCTCCCTCTCCCTCTCTGCCCCTCCCCCACTCAGTTCTGTCTCTCTCTCTCTCCCTCTTTCTCTCTATCAAAAATAAATAAACATTAAAAACATTTTTTAATAAAATAAATAAGGAAGAGAGTAGACAGAAACTGCGGTGGAATGAGGAGAACTTAAATGTGACTTGTAGATCTAGAATGTGGCTGAATGCTGTTTCAGGCAATGTCCTCAACAAAAATAGGGATTCCAAAGAAGGAATAGGTTATGGAGGAAACTATGTTTGAGATCACATAAGTTTGAAGTGACAACTGGATATTCAAGGAGAGATGTTCAGCAGGAAGCTTGCCGTGGAACTACAGAGATACATCAGGGTTGAGATGGAGATGAAGGTTTGGGGTTACCCCTATTAGAACAATAAATAAAACCATGAAATCAACTAAGGTCGCCAAGGAAGGGAAGACAGGGTAAAGAGGTGGCCATGCACTACTCTTTCCATAAATTTGATGCTGACAGGAAACCAGCAGATGGGATAGTTTCTTCGAGTAGGAAAGCAGTACTGAGTAGAGAGTAGGAGGGCATATGTGAAGTCTGGAAATACAGAGAGAGAAAGCAGATGGACCAAAGTTCCTGAGAAGGGAGAAAAGGACAGGGCCAAGGACTCAAACCATGAGATTAGCTTTGGATAGGCTTGGAGAGGCAGAGGATTCTGATGCTTCTTCCCAGGAGAGCAGGAAGGATTGAAAGAGCTGGAGACTTTACAGACTAGTAGAGAGAAGACTTCAGACATACATACTAACTAATAGCACTTATATGAAGAGCCATCCAACTCCCTTCTGTGTGATTATGGAGGGGTAATGAAGACTAATAATGGCTTGTAATTAAATTTTACCTTAAGGAAAGGAAGACCACAGCATTGTCTGTCAATGCAAGAATAGAGTAGTTGTGACCCCAATCTCTGAAATTGTTCAAGCACAGGGGAAAGGCTGGTGGGACACACTGAAAGTCATTCAAATGTTGAGAACAATTTCATGCAATGAGCTTTTTCCAATCTAAGATTCCATGAAATGAAGTGGGGTGTTGTTTTTTGTTTTTGGTGTTTTTTTTTTGCTATCATTTAAACATTTTGTTATTTTTCTTAACCTGTTAGTCTAGTCAGAAATCCATCTGG